CTTCATTCCCACCCCAGAGCCCGCACCTTCCATTTCAGCCAAGTTAGAGCAAGTAAGGGCTGGGGACAGGAAGTGATAGAGAGGAGAGGGCAGGGTCTCAAGGAAGGGGTGGGGTTTTGGGGAAGAGATGGGGTAGATCTTAGTTTGTCCTGACATTTAAAAAGTGATCTTGGGTATAAAAAGGTTGGAGACCACTGCTCTACAGGTTTGTGTGTTACCATTTCTGATGTCAGACTTGTGTTCATTGATCCTTTGTCATAGAGCCTGTCCAGTTTGGCCAGTATACATAGCAGAGGGGCATTGCTGGCAATTGATGGCATATATCACATTAGATGATGTGCAGTTGTATGAGCCTCTGCTGTGGTGGCTTATGTGGTTAGGTCCTGTGATGGTGTTGCTTGTATCGATGTATGGGCAGAGCTGGCAAGAATTGGATTTCCAAGTTTGTGGATCTTGGGCAGCAGAATACTCCTAGTCAGGGATTTGGGGGTGAGGGTGGGGGTGTTTGTATAGATTTTGTCTTGAGTTGTAGCAGGGAGTTTCATGAGCAGATGGTATAATTTCTTTTGGTATTTATTTCTTTTGGGGTTTATTGCAGGGGTATGTTCCTGGGTGAGTGTGTCTGAGAGTATGGCTGCTGGAAAGAATTTGCTTCAGATTAGGAGGTTATCTGTGGGCAAGGACTGGCCTGTCTCCTGAGGCCTGTGAGAGTGAGGGACTGTTTTCCAGGATAGGTTGTAGATTGTCAATGATGTGCTGGAGGGGTGTAAGCTAGGGGCTGTAGATAATGACTAGGGGTGTTCTGTTTTCCTTGTTGGACCTGTCTTGAAGAAACAGTCCTGGGTACTCATCTGGCTCTGTCAATATGTTTCTTCACTTCTCCAGATGGGTATTTAAGTTTTAAGAATGCCTGATAAAGATCTTGTAGGTGTTTGTCTCTTTGGGATTAGAGCAAGTCTGGCTGTGTTTTAGGGTCTGACTGTAAACAATCAATCATGTGATGTGCCCTGGATGGAAGCTAGAGGCATGTAGATAAGAATAGTGGTCAGTAGGTTTCCAATATAGGGTGGTGGAAATGTGGCTATCATTTAATTGTACTGTAGTTTCAAGGAAGTGGAACTCTTGTGTGTCCTGATGCTGGGGTGGAAACTCTTGATGCTGGGGTGGAAATTGTTGAAAACCCTGTGGAATTCTTCAAGGATTTCCTTCCTGTGGTTCCATATGATGATGTCATCAATGTAGTGCATGTAGAGAAAAGGTGCTAGGGGACAAGAGCTGAGGAAATGTTGTTCGAGTGCAGTCATAAAAATGTTGGCATATTGTGGGGCCATGTGGGTGCCTCAAGCAATGCTGCTGACTTGAAGGTATAAATTGTCTCCAAATTGGAAATAATTATGGGTGAGGACAAAGTCACATAGTTCAGCATCTAGGTGCACGGTAGCATCATCTAGGATAGTGTTCCTGACAGCTAGTAGTCCAGCTTCATGTGAGATCTTTCTCTTGTGGGATTGGTAATGGGGATCCTGAGGATCACTGTGATATTCAGTGGTGTGTTAGAAATATTCCTTCAGACGGAGGTGGCGAAAATAGGCTTCAGGTCACTGCAGAACTGAATCATTTGTGCGGGAGTGGTGGGACAGAGCGTCCCAGAGATAGGATGGACTTTTATGCTGGGCTAAGTGTGGTTAGATAGGTTGACAATGTTAGGTGAGTTAAGGGTACCAAAGTTGTGCTACCATGAGGCATGTGGGAGATTAGATAGTTTATTGTACTTTTTTTTTTCTGTTGGGAAGCGAAGTGAGCATTGTAAGTGGCTTATCTAGTTTTTGTAAAGTCCATCCATGAGGAAGTTTGCGTGGAAACTTTTTTTTTTTGAGAGAGAGAGTGTCTTTAGTATTGAAAGCTCCTTGATTTTTCATCTGTTTGTTATATAGAATACTGTATTGGTGGTTCCTCAGTTTGTGTGTGGCATAATTTCTCACTGTAGTCTGGGGGGTATATAGATTGTAATGGGTTTTCCAACAAATCATGTTCATACATGTATCTGATAATTCTGTTCTTTACTATAGTTTCAGCCAGTTTACCTCAGGCTGAAATTAGGCTTACTGATATGTAATTACCTCTATTGTCTCTGGAGCAATTGGAGGAGGATTGGGAGTGATACTGGGAATGGGAGAGGAAATAGACTTGGATAAAGGGCTGGGAGAAGGGAGGACACTTACATTGCATGAGAAGCCAAAAAATGGGACTAGGAGCCAATGGGAACAGGTAATATGGGTAGAGACATGGATGACTTAATGCTACTGTGGAGTAGGGAAAAGATAGATTGGCAAATGGGGTAGGGAACTAGTTTCCCACTCCCCATGTAATTAGAGCTTACTGGGTAAGGGAACCAAGATCAACAGCTTGAGAAGTGGAGACTGGGACAGAGTAGATGAGGAATTAATGGTGGGGATACGTAAAGGATAGGGCCACATTGGTGGGGTTGTGGCAAGAGGTCAAGCTTGGGATGGGTAAAAAAGTCTAGCCAACTAGGGAACTCCTCAGTGTGGAATGAAATCCAGAATCCCTGAGTGTCTCCATTCCTCTGCTGGCAGCAAAGATCTGTGAAACCCACTGGCAGCATTCCTATCTCCTGTAGTTCTTGAGTCACATAAAGGATAGCCTACTACTGTTAGCAGTTACTCCAGTAGCTCAAGTGGCAGAAATGTGCGTGGTGGATCTAAATGTTTCAGCCCTGCAAACCAATCGTGTATGTAAAATGACGTTCTTTAGTGTGCTCTTTTAAAAAACTAGGAAGTTACATACACAGCTGTTAAAAGAACATTAATAAGTTTGCAGAGTTAAGCAGTCAAAGGCTACAAAATGAGGTAGTGTTACTCCGTTGTTCATATGCATTATGATATGGTCTTAATTACAGGTTTACATACAGTGTTTTCCATTGGACCCTGGCCTTGGGGCTCAGAATGTTTGCTCAGTTAATTAGCAGCTATTCAATATTTTGATCTCATTGGTCAGTGTGTAGTTCCAGACCTCCTTTACTGCACACTGTTCAAATCTTATTCTGAAGACAGAATTATTAATTTCCTCATAGCTTTTCAGTGGTGCTTATCTTGACAGTAAATCTGTGCTTCACACACTAACACCATCTCACAGGGGTTGTGAAAACAAATGTATATCTATTTTAGAGATGGAGAATTGAGGCTTAGAGATTTAAGATCAAAAGTATCCACTGACTTTGGGTGTCTAGTTTTGAAATGCCTAATAGTGAACTGATTTTGCACAGTGGTTGGCTTAATATAGCATCTTATATGTTCAAAGCACAGTTTCCATTGACTTTCATTGTAGCTGTTACTGCTGAATACTTCAGCAAATTAGACCCCAGAGTCTCAAGTCAGGCATCTGGACAATGAAGAATGTCCGTGAAAAATGTGGTTTAAGTGACTTGCCTGGCATCACACAGGAACTCTGTGGCATGGTGAGTAGGTAGTTTTTCAGAGCAGCATTCATCTACTGTAACTGTGAAATTGTCCTTTCTCTTCCTGTGATTTTCTGTCTTCTTTACTACATTCCTTCCAATTTCTGCAATGCAAAAGAGAAGGTCTTATGGTCAACTGCTTCCTTCATTACACAGCTCCAGATTCATCCCCAGAGCACTGTTCTTTCTGTGAACTGAATAAGAGGGGATTCTGTGGAAATAAGCGTGAGATCATGTATCTGTAGCAGGGGTGGGCAATATATTTTAATGGGGGACCATGCCAAGATTTTGGTAAGTAGTAAAGGGCTGCATTTCTATGGAGGCGGTGTGGGGTCTGGGACACAGGTATTTAGGCTTCTAGGCGCAGAAGGGAACTTGAGGTAAGAGACAGGAGTGTAGAAGAGGGTGTGTTTGGGTGAGGGAGGGGGTTGTGATCTGGGCAAGGGTTTGGGGTACAATGTCTGGGAGGCGGTATGGGTGCAGGAGAGGATTCTGGCCTGGAGGAGGGGTGTAATGGGGGTGCAGGTTCTGGGAGAGTTATGACCTGGAAGAAGTGGGGTACAGTGTGTTTGGGTGGTGACCTGGGGCAAGAGTGAGTGGTGGTCAGAGGCAGGTAGTTGGATGGAGAAGGAGTGGGGGAAATGCGGTGCCAGAGGCACGTCCTGGCTGGGAGATGCATACCTAGGCAGATCTGGGCCAGCAGCCAGCATGTCCCTCAGGAAGGCTTTCTGCCATCCATGCTCCTGCATGCCACTTGAGTACCTAGCCATGGGGACCATGTGTTACCTAGAGCCCTGGAAGGGGGAGCGGTACTTGACATGTTACCTGCCCTGCAAACAGGCAGCTCCCATTGACCCATTTCCTGCCATTGGGAGCTGCAAGATTGTCCTGGGGATGCAGGCTGTATTTTGCCCACCTCTGGAGTAAGAGCTGCTTTGAGATCATTTTAATTTACTGCATGTGTCTACTGCAGTTCAGTCTGTAGGGGTGGGTGTCAATAGCAGTGGGTACCAAAATGCTGCACTGTACCTCCCCCATGTGGATGCTGGCGATGCCAACTACAAGGATGCTATCTTGTATTAGTATAATCCTGTTTGAAGAGAACTGTTTATGTGAAAACTTCAACAACAACAAATAGTCTAATAGCATCTTAAAGACTAACAAAACATGAACTAGGAACCTTTTATTTTGTATCCAAGGGTATGTCTAGACTAAAGGGTTTTTTCAAAAAAAGTGGCCTTTTTTCGGAAAAACTTCCCCTACGTCTAGATTGCTGCCACATTCTTTTGAAAGCAAATCAAAAGAACACAGCAGTTTTTTTCAATCGCAGAAAACCTCATTTTACGAGGAAGAACACCTTTTTTCGAAAGTGCTTTTTTCAAAAAAAGGCACCATGTAATGCAAACTGTGCTTTTTCGAAAGAGCATACAGACTGCCTGGGTGCTCTCTTTCGGGGTGGGGGTGGAGGAGGAGGACTGATTATAGTCTAGATGCTCTTTTTCGAAAGAGGATTTTTCTAAAGTATCTTTCGAAAAAGCCTCTTTTGAAAGAGACTTGCAGTCTAGACATAGCCCAAGTGTCCACATGGGGGAGTGACAGCATGTTACTGTGGTGTATAGTAGAGTTGGACAACATAGACTTGGTTAAAGAGTCAGAATGTAGGAGATGCAAAGGCAGCTTTGCAAACCAGGTGTCCTGGAGCTGAGTACAGCTCTGCTAGAGTAGAGACTCTGGCCTAAGCTAAAGAATTTGAAGTCTAAAGGTGAGGCCATGCCTTTGTCTATGTGGTGCCTAATATGTTTTTGATCCGAATATAACAATTAGGCCATCTGCCAGAAACAGTCATGAGAAATGCCACTTGTCATGGGGGGATAATGAAGATGGGAAACAATGGAGAGCTTTTCTTGGGACAGAAGAATTGGACTTAGTTCATTAAGATAATTTAATTAGCAATCTATGAAATTACTTCAGACTCTTGGTTCAGGGACCAAAATTGAAATTTACTTTGGTTTGGAAGCCAGAGTCATGAACTGAGTGAAAATTATCCAGTCTATTATCAGGAATATTCAGTATTCCTCCCTCTTCTTCACTGCCTCCACTTTGGACCATTTACAGTGCATCATCTGAGGGTAGGAATGTTAAAATGTGTGCAGTAAAGTATCTGTGTATCCACTATCAGAGGCCACAGTGCAGGGTGGCAGGCGGTTCCCCAGAGCCAGCTGCCTGCACGTATCGGGCGTCTGTGTGTAAATATGAACATTAACCCATAAGCCCAGGCTCATTGAGTAACCATGTACATGGTTAAAATTTCAAATCCCTAACTGGAGCATGGGAAACCGTTAAACCCTTATTGCTGTTGAAGAAGTAGAAAATTAAAGGGAAGCCATAGTCTAGAATGGTAGAGATTGGAGGCGGGAGGAAGAAAGAACACATTTTAAAAAACCAAGTTTTAACTCTATTTTAAAAAGTTCTAACCCTGGAGTTTTTAGTACCTTGTGTTTAGCAGAAAGCAGGGTGGAGTAGAGGGAACATTACCAACTTCCTTAATTGATTTTTCTTCCTATCTGTAAATATCACCACACATAATGTGGCAGACTTGTGCCGCAAATTGTGGTTTTTTTTAAAGTGTTGTTAGTTCCAAGTTACCAATGTCTCTGTTTATGTTAATGCAAGGTCATCTTGTTCTTGGAATGAAATTGCTTCATCATCAGCTCTTTAGGGAATATGAAGTTCATACGAAATCTCAGCTTCCTTTTTCAAAAGGGAAAAGCTGTCAGTATGCTTTTCTGGGAGTCTCTTCTTCCCTCCCTCATCCCTCAATTTGCAGCATGGGGTGGAGCTTATTGTTGCAAACCAAACATCTTAAGTTCCAGCTTGAGTATTCATTTTCCTCCTACCAGTTAATTGATTTTTGGGCTGTCCCAACTTGTCTGTAGAGTGAATAAGCCAAGAACTGTGCAGGGAAAAGGACTGAGTTCTCTGTCACTAGAGTTGACAGCATTCAAAGGTGTGTGCTTTGTGGAACTTTTGGACAAGTCTGAATTCAAGATTCCGGTGTCTTTTCTTAAATGCATTGTTGCTGTTGAGAAGGGGACCAACATGACTCTACTAGAACCAGAGAAGCTGATGATGGCAGTCCAATCAGGTAATACTCTAGCAATATTCAATAGGATATGTTTTATATGCCAGGCAGTTAGTTACAGTGTGTGAAGAAGGTGCATAAAACAGGCCTAGAGACAGAAATGTGATGACTTCATGTGCAATTGAAGATGGTGCAAACAGAATGTTATATTTTGAGTGGTTTGAGATTTTAATATGAAGAAACTAAGATTTTGAAAACACTTAAAAGTTTAAAGCAGAGCTCACTCTCAACACACTATATAAATCACCTCCATGAGGGGAGTAGCTAACAGTGCTGGGAGCATGACTCCCAGTGCTGTACCCTGGTTCACACTGGCACTTAATAGCTCTGTAGCTTGCAGGGGGAGAGGGTGCATACCCCTAAGCCAAAAAGTTAGTGCTGTAAAGTGTGCACTTAGCTGAATATCTTTCATTCCTCTTCTCCCACCCCATATTTCAATAAATTAAGGTCTTTGGCTCTTGAGAATCAGCAAATACCTACCAAGCTTAGGGCTGTGTAGTAAAGAGACTCCATTTGAGCCAAGCCCACCTATTCTGTTTAACTGTTAGCTGATTGTTTAATTCAGTTAGTTTTTACTTGGTTTTAATATCTGATCCAGAAATACTGTTAATACTTCTTGGGAAACTTTGAATTACGTTGTTTTGAAAAAAATTCTATTTCTGTCTTCCACCTCTCCTCACCTTTCCTTTATTGCTTACATAGGATCTCTAGTTTCCCTAAGAGTTAATGTATTTTTGTAGCTTTTTTGCCAAGATGATGTCATCTTCCTCTTGTGATATCACAGTCGGCTGCTAGAAATGTTTGAGATGTTGTACAGAATTGTGACTCCAGGGACGAGGATTAGTCAAGATAGATGAGACTTGATACCTGTCCATAAAAATATGATGCCCTTCCATAACTTTCTTCGAGGATCTCGAAATACTTTGCAAATATGAAGTCTCCCAAAATGCCTGTCAGGTAAAGTTCCTTCACTTTATAGATGGAGAAACTGACACAGAGATAGTGACCTTAGGTAGGTGATTTACTGAATCCATGGAAATTATCAACAGTCTAGAAGTCTTGATTTACAGTATTTTTTTAGCAGTGCTCCTAATAAAGGAGGGAAGAGATAATTTAAAAAACCTGTCTTCTAGCTATGTTTTGTAAAACTACTTTCTCCACCTTCTGGTGGGGCAGTGACTCTGAATGTATCTTTCATTATTCTTTTTTTCTTTTGTTACAAAGCAATTTCTAAAAGTTTGTTTTTTAAATAGCTCATATTGCTTAAGTTTTCTATCGTAGTTTGCTCTCTCCCTGGTTTTTTAGTTTCTCTAAAGAGTAAGTGATATTGAGCGATCTTCCTTTATCCGACGGCCTTCTCCCAAAGCAGGAAGAATTTTTCAGTTCTGGCACAGGTGTGCTTTCCCCCTCAGCAAGGGGATTTGATTCTACAGCTGTGGTGTCCAACCAGTTCTGAAGCAGTAACCGCCATAGTGACTATTGCTATAGTAAACTAGTCACACTCAACTGGCCAAATAGCCACATGTGGCTAGTGTGTTGGATACCACAGTTCTACAGCATGTCTCCGTGAGGTGGAGAGAAGAAAGCAGGAACCTGTAGGAGTAGGGGCATGACTCCGTGAGGTGGAGAGAAGAAAGCAGGAACCTGGAACCTGTAGGAGTAGGGGCATGGTGAAATTATGATAGCTGTTTTATGGGAGGTACTTGCAGCTATCCTTAAATGCACAAAAGTTGCCTTAGGTCCTATACTTGTCTGGCCATTCCCATGATATGCTTGTAATGTTACCCTCTTGTCAGTATTTAAGTCCTAGTAATATGCTTGGTTCTATACAAGACACACACAGCAAGAGAACAAAACCAGTTCTGGCACTGCACAAAAATAAAGTTTTAAATCAAGCTAGATAACTTGATGTAAAACCTTACTGGAGAGAAGACACTTTAATTTCACCTTAGCTAACTACACTAGTGAAAAATACCTGTACCTTGTTTTTACTAGGATTTAGTATTTTTTATAGTTAAAACAAACGGCCATAATAACTAGATGCCTATGTGTGAATCCATAGAATAAAGCAAAGCTTCCTAAAATTAGGAAAGTTCCCTTGGGTGCAGATGAAATGTGGCTTTTTTCCCCAAAACTTTGACAGTGACTCTTCTCTTTACTGGGAATTATGGGATTCCTCTGGGATTTTGTTTGTTCCTTCATCTAAAGCAGGGCAACCTATGGCTCGCAAGCCAAATATGACTTGCAAGGGAACCAAATATTTCTCTTTTGGCAGACTGTCGGGTGGCTGCTGGAGCTGAAGCCGGTCTGCAGTGCAGCTAGCTGCTCCTGGGACTGGTGCCTGGGTTCTAGCTCCGGGTCTAGCTCTTGTGCCACAGGGTCAGTGGATGCCAGGCTGGATGGTGGACGGCTGCTGGAGCTGAAGCTGGGCTTGCTGTGGCCCTGGCTTCAGTCCTGGCACATGGAGCAGTGGCCCAGCACGTGGCCCTGCCCTGGGAGCAGTGGGTAGTGTCCAGAAGGCCCTGGCCCTAGCTTCAGCTCTTCCCCAGAACATGAGGGGGAGCCACGAACTCCTGCCCCTCCAGGACATGCCAGGAGCTGCAAATTGTGGCCTGGCAGACAGCTCCCCAGCCTCCAGGACAAATTGGGGGGCTATCAACTATGGCCTGGCATTCTCCCCACCTCCAAGTGATGCTGGGGAGTGGGGCGCAGTAGCTACCTCCCAACCTCAGAAGAGACAGAGTGGTCAACTGGGAGCTACAGCCCACTATCCCCCTGCCCCAGGACACACCAGGGGAGGGCCAGAAACTACTGCCCCCCTGAGGAGATGCTGGGTGGGTTCAGAAACTGTCCCCTTATCCCTCGGAGCAGCACCATCTTTGCTACAGCGGACAGCCCTGGTAAGCCCTCTCAGCCCCCAGCCCTGAGCCCCTTCCCCTGATTTCTACACCCTCTCTGCACTAAGCCCTACCACATATTTGGCCCCCCTACTCTGCACCCCAACTTCCTGCTCTCAGCCCCCATACCTTCCAACCCCCTGCTCACTCCTGCCTCAGCCCCCCAGCCGCTGCCCTGACTCCTGCACCCACATCCCCTGCCCTAGCCCCCAAGTCTTGTCCTGACTCCTGCAGCCCCCCCCCACATTGAGGTCCCCCCCCCAAATCCCTCCCCTGACTCCTGCATTCTTATATGGCTCTTTGTTGACCATGTGTTCTGAATTTTGATGTAATTTGGGTTGAAAAGATTGCCAACACCTGATCTGAAGAGTGCTTGGATATGACATAAACCAGACGGCTGGGTCACCTGGAAGCATCATGCAGTGATGAGGCAATTCCTTGGTATTCTTAACCTGTGTGGTATAAGAGATATAAACTGATCACCACTCGGTCTGAAATGACAGACCTCCTTTGGCCAGGTCAGCCACTGCTTTAAAATGTTAAGCAGGAAAAAGGGGAGTGGGATGAGTTCATACAAACAAGGATAGTAGAAGTGAGCCTGAGAAATGAGTAAAGGATGAAAGGTTCAGGTGGATAGAGTTGAGGGAATGAATGTCAGTGCTTACTGTAGTGTGGCCCTCTCTAAAGCCTTAGGCCTAAGGTTAGATGCAAAAGAGAGACTACAATGAAATGTCTGAGTGTCACAACATTAATAAAATCTGGAGGGATGTGAAGATTAAGGCATTATTTATGCTGCCAAGTTTTTAGTTTTCAGCTGCAAAATAAAACCACCTTTATGAAGCTCTGTCTTTTATGCAAAAGTTTTGTTGTCAAAGGGCCCATGTAGACACCCTACTTGATTTTTTTTTTAATTGTTGTAATTGATTTTTGGAAGCTGTGCTCCACAGTGCCTGTCATGATCAGTCTGATCAGCAGTTTTAACTCTGTTGTCTTGCAGCCAGGTAACCAACCCTCTGCCCTTAAACTTTTAAACCCCTGGAAATTTTTAAAATTCCGCTTCCTGTTTGCTTGGTGTGAAGAGCTCACTTTGCCTCTTTCCAGCTGACCGTGGCAGCTCCACATAGCAAATGCTTTCCTGCTTGGACCACTGTGAATATGCTGGATCTGTGAAGAGGAGGCTGTGCAGTCCCAGCTATAGGAATTTCAATCTTTATGGAAAGGTAGCACAAAAAGGGCTCTGATCAGGATGCGCTGCAGTGCAGAGAAAAGATTAAGGAGTTGAGGCACACATCAGAAGGCAAGGGAGATAAACTGTCACTCCTGTGCTGTGTCCAGACTTGCCGTTTTTTATAGAGTTGTATGCTGTCCTCTGCTGTGACCACATCTCTACTGCCAAAAGTGTTATGGATATTTTGATGGTGCTAAATCCAGCAGAAAGTGGGCCTAGCTTGGAGGACAAATTCATTGACAAAGAGGATGCGGCATGTGACAGTGTGGTGCAAACAGCAGGGTCGCCTAGTAGTTGATCCAGTCAGGATTGTTCGCCGTTCCAGAGATGTCTCAGCAATTGCAATCCTGAGAGCAAGAAGCAGGAGAGGAGATTCTTGGTAAGTGGTTTCCCTTTGAAATGTGGAGGTGGGTTTGAGGGCTTAGATATGGCTATGTTTCTGTGTGTTGGGTTCTTCCCTGTGGTGGAACAGGCTGATGCACACAGAGATTTCACAGGAATTCTCCAGAGAATGCTAGGAAGCTTTACTGCAGGTATTCTGCAATCCTCTGCTGAAGATTCCTTGGCAGACCTGCTTTGCTCTTTCCCACATTGAAAGAAACTTTCCCGTGCCATTCTTCAATCATTTGTTTAGGGATTCAAGCAGCATAGGGACCAAGTAGAAGTCACAAGCATGTAATAGATGCAACCTTACTCTGCTTACCCTCAGGAGTAAGATCTGGTACAATGATATCTACCTGTGGAAAAGGGTGGGAATTTCCAATATTGTCCCTGTTTGACTGTACCATGACTTTCATATTGGCTAGCTCCCTAAACAAGGCTTCTCACCCTGGAGTAAACTTAACCAGGCCTCCGGTGTTCGCTGGCATATATACTTGTCAAGGGTCAATGAGTGATTTGTATGTTACTAGAGGGATATTTTTCTGTATTGTTGTGTGTGTACTTATGTGTATTGTTCATTATGCTTCTGCAGATGTGACCTTGAGGCACCCTCTACACAATGATGGAGTGCCAGTACCAATAAGAAAGTGCCTGGGATGGAGCAAGAAAGACTTGTTCCTGGAGGTGATTCAATGCTCAGTTGCTGAAAACAGGGAACACAGACACTGAAAGGAAATTGAAGGCAAGACAGACAAAGAAATTGAGGCCTACATTAGGGATGCAAAGGAGAAAATGATTAAAGATATGGAGAAGCAAATAGAGATTTATAGTGTCTTATAACACCCAAGATTCAGCAGATTTGTGCCCGCTTTCCCCTTCAGCACATTCAGAACTCCCTCCCCATACTTCACCTCCAAGTTCCTTTCTTCTCTATGGGACTTCTCTCTATCCTTTTTGTTCCATTTGCCTGGACGTCTTTGGGACTTAAGTACATCTCTTGAAATTCAGCCCTCTGCCTTGGTACCTCCTCTTCCTTTAAATATATATGTGTGTGTGTGTGTGTATAATTTGTTGTCGTTTTTGTGCAATAAAAGCAACATTTTAAAATAAATCATTATTTCTCTCCTGCAAATTGTGATAGCAGATGACTGTGGTGGTGTTGAATTTTTGAGATGACCATACTATACATGGTTGCAACCACTATTACAATTGCAACAAATACAAAGTGGGCCAAATAAGTTGTCTATGAAGAGCTTGTAATTCACTGTAATTCTGTTTGTTCTGCTTGTATGCATGTATCATTTTTGTATTTGAAGTTATGAGACTTGGCTTAGTACTTGGATTTCAAATGTTTGCTTCTGACTGACAGATCAGTTGTTGTGGTCCACCTATTGTGAAAGGATTGCTAGTCAAGTGAATAAAAGTACTTGGTTGACAACTTTGCTGTGAACGTTCAGACCAGCATGCAAGGGATGGCTGTTTGCTAAATAAGGACCGAGTCATGCATGGGGACATGCTTTCATACAGCAAGACCAATACAATTCCCTCTACATAGGCAAGCATATAAAAAGGACCCTGAGAGCACCTCCATTTTGTCTTTATTCCAGTTCATCATTTCTGAAGCATCTTTGCTATGAATTGAGCCTGATGTTCCATCCTAACAGAGGATGTATTCCAGAGACTTACAAAACAGCAGACTATTCCACCTCTGCTACAATTCTGCACCAAGAACTTTGCAATTGGTGTACGTAACTTGATTCCTTTAACAATTTTCCTCTCATCAATTCCTTTCCTTTTATTAATAAACCTTTAGATTTTAGATGCTAAAGAATTGGCACAGTGTGGTCTTTTGGGTAAGATCTGAGGCATAAATTGATCTGGGAATGTCTGGTCCTTTAGAACTGGAAGAACCTGTTTGGATTTTGTGAAGCTGGTTTTAATAACCTCTCATCTGTATAAGGAGTGGTACTGGTGGTGAAAAAGGAAAGCTGGAGTGTCTAAGGGTTTTGCTTGTATGACTTGTTTCAGGCCAGTGTAGTGAACAGAAGTGCTCTTTTTGTGACTGATTTGGTGTGCCTTATAATGAAGGACCCCAATCTTGGGCTAAGTAGCCTTGTCTGTAAAATAACTTGTCCTCTCAGCGGTGCCCCCAAGGAATCACCTATATTATGATGAGAGCAACAGATAAACAAGCATTTAAATAATTTGCTCACATAGAATTCTAGGCCACAAAAATCTCAAATGCTTCCTTGCAAAACTCTGATTTCATTAATCACTGTAGTCCAGAGCCTAGCAACATTAATTATTTGCTCTTATGTTCAAAATGGTATTTCAAATCCTTCATGATTCGAATAGTCCCCTTTTGTGGCCCTCTAAAGCATTCGTGGCTGTCTCTCGAAATCACCTGCCAAGTGTTATGTCTCAGCAGTCCACCCCTCAGCAAACTTATTTCCCCTACATTCACAGATATTGTGCAATGTGCAACACACAGCAACGACCATGGGAATATTATCATTGAGGTCAAATCTGCCATAAAGGCATTGCTAGTGTACCTTTAATCTGCCAAATGCACATTCTACTGTCACCCTGCACCTACTCAACCTACGGTTGAACCACTCCTTACTGCTATCCAAGTTTCTTGAGTAAGGCTGTATCTAAACTACATCCCTTTTTTGGTAAAGGCATGTAAATTAGGGACGTCGATATTGCAAATGAAGCTGGAATTTAAATATTTCATGCTTCATTTGCATAATGAAATGGGGCTTAGACAGGAATCTTTTGAAAATAAACCTTTTTTGAAAGATCCTGTAAATCTCATTTTTTGAGAAGTACGGGGTCTTATGAAAAAGGGTTTTATTTTCGAAAGTTTCCTGTCTAAACTGCTGTTTTTTTCTCAAAGCCCCGTTTCGGAAAAAAGCGGTAGCTTCCATTATGCAAATGAAGTGTGGGATATTTAAATTCCAACTTCATTTGCAATATCGACGTGCCCAATTTACATCCCTTTACCGAAAAAGGGATGTAGTTTAGACACAGTCTCAGTTTGAGCCATGGAATTAATGGGTTGGCAAAGTCTCCCAGGATCACTATAGGCATTTTAATATCCCAGACTAAGTGTGGACGTGGTATGCTGATAGAGGGAGAATATGGAACAACAAATTTATTGAACTTTTTTTGATCACTGACCAAACTTTTGGTGAAAAACTGTGAGGGTAGGCATCACCTAAGTAAAAAAGATAGATAGAATAATGGGAATATATTATGAGCCTTGAGATCAGAGGGATGATAATCCAATGCTAAAAGAGACCAGAAAGGTGCCAGGAGGCATAAACTACCCAAATATGAATTGGTCTTGATTCTATAAATTGTTGCTTGGAAAAAAACAATGTTCTGGAGCATTTATATCATCTGCAAAGTTTGCCACCTCACTGTACCCCTCTTTCCCCAAATATTGAATAGCACTGGTCCTAATACAGAGTTGGGGGTACTACTATTTATCTTTCTCCATTTTGAAAACTGACCATTTGTTTGTCCTCTTGTTGCCTTTTAACCAATTACTGTTCCATGAGAGGACCTTCCTCCTTATCACCTGATTGCTTATTTTGCCTAAGCCTTTGGAGATGCACCCTCTTACTGCTTTCTGAAAGTCCAAATGCATTATAACTATTGAATCACCCTTATCCACATTTGCTCATCCTGTCAAAAAATTTTAATAGAGTGGTTAGATCTTGACTCTTCTCAAACATAAAGTGTTCATATGTCATAATTCTGTTCTTTTCTATAATTTCAACCAATTTATCTGGTGCTGAAGTTAGGCTTACCAACCTGCAGTTGCATCACCTGTGGAGATCTTTTAAAAGGCTGATATCACATTAGCTACCCTACCATTATCTGACACAAAATGATTTTAAATTTCAGGTTACATACCACTTAGTATTTCTGCCATTTCATATTTGAGTGCCTTCAGGACTCTTGGGTGAATACCATCTGCTCCTAGTGACTTATTAGGCAATTGAATTTGGTCTGTCAGTGATGTTAGGGTTACCATTGTTGTCTTAGCTCATGTCTGTCCCTGCTTGCAAGCTTGTTAAAATATAAATACCCAGTGGATTGATAATTTATAATCTCCTGGGTTGCATAGAATATGTCTGCTGCAATTAGACACCTGCAGCTGGCCCATGTTTGCTGACTCAGCTAAGGTCCCAGCTCTGGCACCTCGCATTGCTGGGTCCTAGCACCTGGGTTGCAGCCTGAGCCTGAACATCTACACTGCAGTTAAACGGCCCATTAGCCGAAGCCTGAGTCAGCTGGCATGGGCCAGCCACAAATTTTTAATGTCACCATAGACATGGATATAGTATGTCCTGTCAGTCTGGTTTACAAAACCAGACAATCCCATAAAAATGTGACACTGTCGAGCAAATATGGTTGGGCAGCAAGTCTTATGGTCAGTGTTCCCTTCTACTGGTTACTTTTGGCAGTTTCTCCTGCTTAATAGTGAGATGTTTCGTGTAAGGCAGGGGTGTCCAAACTTTTTTCAAAGAGGGCCAGATTTGATGAAGTGAACATGCGTGAGGGCTGACCATTTTGCCTGACATTCTTTGAACCATTAAAATTAAATGCAAATTAACTATTTTATGCAAAGTTTATTGCAAACGGCATACTTTTCATTTTGTCACATGGATGACAAATCTAAACAGGTGTTAAATCACTCTGCCTTTCATATCTGAAGGCCAGATGGAAAAAAAAATCCAGGAAGCTGAAATATATGTCAGGAACATTGTAAAGCACATTACATATTATTGGTAATAAAGGTTGTCTGTCAACTTTTAAGTTCAAAAACTATGAACAGGAACATAACACCAAGTATACATGTTGTGTCCAAATATATTTATAACTGATTTAGACCAACTGACATTAACTGAGATTTTACAATGTATTCATCTCAATACATATGGATTCGTTGGGGGCCATAAAAGATAGATATTGCCAAATTACCTGGGGGGCCGTATTAAACCGGAACACGGGCCGCAATTGGATTTTGGACATGCCTGGTGTAAGGAAATGGTCATATTGTGACAGTAGAGGGTGGTGAAATCTATTATCTTTGGATCCTTTAAAGTAATTTAGACACCCTTCCTATTTAAGAACACTCTTCTCTATTGTATTAGTTCTTGGTTTGTTCTTTGTGTTAAATGGGAGTGGGGGAGGTGTGCTTGAATTCAGTGTTCTTCAAATCTGACTTTTCTTAATGTTTGAAAAGGAGGCAGTCCTTATCTTAGCAGCAATACTCCATGGGAACGCCTCACTTAAATCTTTCACATTTCTTTTTTTGGAAGATGTATTAAACTTTGTTCAGTGTTTCTGTTGTCCTACATCCTTAGGCGATTGAGACCTTTTTAACACATGCGAATTCTGTCTTAATTGATTCATCCTCTAAGAACATTTTATAAGGTGGTGGACAAAAAGGCTGTTTAACAGATGAAAGTGAACTTATTTTTAAAAAGTAGATTAGACTGTTCAAACTTATTTCTATGAAGTTATCTCTAGCCGTCTTTTGGGGTAGTGTGTGTGTGTGGGGGGGGATAGTGTTTAAAGACACTCAAACTAGTTTAGGCTCAAATTGGCCCACCTTTGCAGACTTTTTTTTCATTGAGAGTAAGATATGGAGACACATGCTCACTTAAAGATCCTTTTAGCAGTCTTTTCATGAATTAGTGGACATTAGTGCTAACATCCTGGCCAAAGTATGATTCTGGATATTATGATTGGCTGGCTTTAAATTTTCTTCTAGTGCAAGCACAGGAAATACAATTCTTCAGTTCCTCTCCTCAGCTGTCATGTATTGAACACTGGTAAGTGGCTAGCTTCACCTCCAAGCTGAGTATTTGTTAGTGACAGGAAATGATCTTTCTAAATAAATTTTTAATATCTTTAATTTTCAAGATGAAAAGTGCTAAATAAATAAAAGATAACTATCTATAGCTCAGGCAACACGGCGGGGGAGTAGGGAAGGTGGAAGGAGGAGGGGAGGCAGCTTCGTAGGAGCTTAAAAGCCAGCTCCTCACATGCACCAGCTCCATCAGAGCCACCTGTCCCCCCCATGTGCAACCACTGAAAAATTATTTTGGTTATGTGTTTTCCAAAATAAATGCATTTTAACATCCCTAAACCCCAGCCTGCTCTCTGGCAGCCTCCTCCCACACACTGAACCCCTCACTTATGACCCCACCCAGAGACTTGGTGGGGGGGTCCCCATAAAATCCACTACCCCCAGGCCTCTAGAAGAGTTAATCCATTTTGCTCCAGCCCTGAGGGTAAGCCCTGAGCCGCAGTGCCTCCCTCTCCGTCCTCTGAGGTGAGGGGAGTATCCCTCTGTTTCTCAGTTGGTCCATGTCTGTGAAGAGGTTTTACTTCTTTCTTAGGGGCCAGATCAGTATGGTGGCTTTTGTCTCATTTGTGTGTGGCAGCTGACCCAAAAAAGGTTCCCCATCCCTGAAATAGATGCTTATGCTGCATAAAGTCTTATTTAGAATACCTTTTAGCTCTCAAGAGTTCCATCATAGGAAAGGAAACCTTTTGGCTACACCTTTAGTTTAATTGACACACTGGGTATCTTCACTGATGTACAGTGCTGCTCATAGAGTGCTGCAGGGAAACTGCTGTTGTGTTCACAGTCAAGTGCCAGTGTAATTGCACAATCACAATTGCAGAATACTCGGGGGAGCTGTCCCGTAGAGCATCTCTTCATTTTCTGATGCAGAGGCTTGTGGGAAGGTTGGGGGAGAGGGGTGATCATGGGGCAGCCTGGGTCCTGTCCCAGTACCCATGATGCATTGCATTTCATCCTGGTGACCACTGGCATTTGTGGAGGTGCTGACCATGATGGAATGCCACTTTTGGGCTCAGGAAATAAACACTGTGGTAGGATCACATTGTCATTCAAGTGTGAGATAAGCAGTGGCTGCAGGACTTTTGGATGAGGAAAGCCACTTTCATGAGACTCTGTGATGAGCTCACCTCCATTCTGCAGTGCAAGGACACAAGAATGAGAGCTGCCTTGCTGCTGGAGAAACCCATGGTCATTGCATTGGGGAAGCTTGCTACTCCAGACAGTTACCAGTTGGTCACCAATCAGTTTGGGGTGGGAAATTCGACCATTGGACTCATTGATGGAAATGTGCAGGGCCATTAATCTCATCCGGCTTCAAAAGACTCTGAGCAATGTTCATAACATTCTGGGTGGCTTGCCCAAGTGGGCTTTCTTAACTGTGGAGGGGTGATAGATGGCATGCACATTCCAGTTCTAGGAGTCCTGTGGCACCTTATAGACTAACAGAAGTGTTGGAGCATAAGCTTTCGTGGGCAAAGACCCAGTTCGTCAGATGCATGTATTCTATGCTTTCCATCTAAGGGGTTTACCTAAAGCGCAGCAATTGCGGAGTTAGTGCGCACTCTGCCTTGCCAGTGTGGATACCTCAGGAGTTACAGTGCCGGGAGCTAATTTTACTGTGCTGTAACTTGCCTGCATAGACAAAGTCTAAGAAACAGATTTCTGCTGTTGTCTCTTTCATCTTATCCCTGCCCTGAGGAGTCCTTTCACTTTCTTGGCACATCTTTGAAGAAGAGTTGACCATTCTGAAAGATGGCACAAGTTCTCGTTTTCTGTCCACAATGAAAACTCACTGGCCACTG